AAAAAAATCTCCTTAACATTAATTGTAACCAAAATTCATCAATTTTCTAGTGCTACAGCAGCCTTAATAGATTATGGTTAAGCTGAAAAGACAGCTGTACCTTCAACAGGAACTGGCTAGAAACTGTATCTTCTTCTTCACGAGTTCGCAGACCCTTGAATAATTTATATACATGAGAGATTCACAATAATAAAATTTCGAGCAGTGTTCTGCATTTTCTATATTTAAAGAATTGTGAGATATACCTTTGACAGAGTAACAGTAGATGCCCAAAGCTTGTCAGATGTCCTTGTAGATACATGAAACCTGAATACGTCGCATAGATAAGCCTCAATTTGTGACATACAGGACTTAAAATCTTATACATGAATGATACAAAAATAGCGGCTAATGTAGAGCAAAAACAAAGTAGTTGACAGAAAGCAACGACTACTTTAGGAGTTAGATGAAAAGCTATACAGAATGTTGTTTTAAACTTTTAGTTGTAATCATGACAAGCTTCTCTAGTGGACTGGTGCTCGACTCCTCTTACATATCAAACAAATAATGCTAAGAATCCAATCAAATTAATACGTGATAATTTTTAGCATATTTTAAAGCACCAAATGTGCCAAATTCGTCAGAATAACCTTTTTCCAATGTTACAAATAAAGCTCGTACATCTTCATGATATTTGAATCATAGTGTCCTCAGCATCACATAGTCCATACTCACCTTATAAATCTATGCTAGGACCTGAAAATCCTTACCCTCAAAGATATTCTTGAAAGCATTCAAGGAGGAATGCAATTGCCAACTTGGAATTAGCTGAATTATAATCCTTCATCTAACCAGTACACCTATAATTCCCANAAAAAAAAAAAAAAAAAAAAAAAAAAAAAAATAGTTCTCTTAACTATATGCATATCTCAACCATTGCTAAACTCTACTAAGGCGGATAAGTAGATGAACCCAATACATCTTTATGTTGGCAGAGGAATAATTACTAACCCAATCTATTTTCACTATGTGTCTCTAGGAACTGGATACTTCTAAGATCATTACAGCATATACATTTAGAGAGTATTAGCGCCAATGAGTTGATATAAATAACTTGAAAGTGCAATCTGATAGAAGTGATGTGTAACCTGTGATCTCCAAGTTTGGGACGTGTGCTGGCAAGAGAACCACTAAAACCCACACCAAGGGCCGGGAACCCTGAATTTAGCAGATGACTAAATAAATCTAAGTTCCAAAGTTGAGACCCAGAACCCAGCATCCATCTCAATACGATATTGAACATAACAATCATTCAAGGACAAAAAATAATGTCAGAAAAGCAAACTAATAGATAGGGTTCAGTTCAACAACTTCAAATAAAATTACATTAATTGAAAAAGGAACACACACATGAAAATCAACAAACCAGGCGTAGAAAGTCTCAGAGCTCTATTATAAGCCATCAATGCCATGTCCTCTGCTGTTTGCCGGCAGGCGAATTGGGATGGAACCTAAAAAATTCTCAAGAAAATAAGAGAAATAAACAGAACTGCTCATCTTCAGAGACTAAAACCCGATCTATATAACTTCTAAAGGAACAGCCAAGCAATCACGAATCACGAATCACGAATCACGAAAACGAAAATATATGAAAATGGCGGACCTTGCCCAGCAACTGAATCATGGACATTCTGGAATAAGGCACGACGGCTTCTAAGACCGTGTTTGAAGCTCCCGGCACAGACATCAGCCAACCTAGCGCCTGCCCAGCTTACGACAGCTACTTCATTTGGATCACAATAAACAGTATCCAAGTCATATATGATACTGCTAGTAGATATCGGCGCGTGTGGCCGGATGCTTACCTGAGACGCGCCGCCGGAGAGGTGGAGCACGGCTTGGGTGGGGCTGGCGTGGATGGCTTCCACCATAGCTCGACCAGAGGCGTCCATTCTTTTTGGTCTCCAAAGATTGGTGAACGCGTACTTGTCTCGAGTTGTGTCGTTTAAGATGGGTATTTTTGGGGCTCTTTTTTCTAGAACATGCGAGTCATATTCAGGTTTTTGTTGTATTAGTTGATTAAAGTGAGTTATTTTTAATAAAGTTGATTGAGTTGATGATTTTAATTTTATAATTAAATAATATTTAAAATGTGATTAAAGTTGATGTGATTTAAAAAGAATATATTCAAATAAATATAAAAACGGTATATAATGAACTCGATCACTTTTTTGTCTCGAATCTGAGGCTTACTATTGCCAAGTCAGTGGTTCCACCAATCATAGTTGATGTCTTGGACTGATGTTAAAAAAAATAGTTATCATGATCCATGCTTGAAGACAAAGGATATTTTTTATACTTCGGCCTCAATCGTGGCGGTTGAATAAACATTTGGCGAGGGACGATATACATTGGATGCACGACGGTCGAGGTTGACACAACAAAACTTGGAGGCTCAAATATTGCTAAGGATTGGAAGAAAATCGAAGGAAGGGAACAAACGGTCATCCTAACTACTGAAGAGGATGACAATGAACAAAATGATTTTAGTAGTATTAGTAGAACCAACAGAAATACCAAAGACGACGTGTACGACTATGCCAACGATTACTAGATCGTTCAATGCATTATGTCATCTTCTTCCATCAAGGTAAGTAAGGTGATCGAACTATGAGGACTTTGATTCGTAAGGTACTGGATGCATATGCAACTTAATTAATATATTATAAAATAAATTATCATTTTTTGACCCAAAATATTTCAACTTAATTGATATTTTAACTTATAATATGTCAACTTAATTAATTCTTGTAGTTTGATACTTGTATCCCAAGTATTCAGAGTTGCATGCAATCAAACTTAAACAGACTTTAAAGTAGATTCAAACAATTGCGGAAGCACTAAAACTTAAAATTGAACCTTCAGGAGAGCGTCTCACTCTCCCTTCGGATCTCTTTAATTAATGCAAACAACGCATACATTCTTCAAGGGTTTACAGTATAGACTCCCTCTACATTCTACTTGAACAATGATTTGCACTACTACTTATCCGACCACAAATCCCTTGTGGTTTTTCACGTTTGATTCCCTCAAACTAAAACAGAATGAACCTCCGTTCACTCTGTATTTTCTCTCATACTAAACCTACTCACTTTCATTCACTTCCCTCAATACTAAAACAAATTGCTTCAAAAATCCACCACTCGTAATGTCAAGTTCTCTCCAAATAAAAAGAAAAACAAAAATAGTGCTCCTCAATGCCCATCTCGTCGTCCTTTTATTCTCATCCTCATATGGTAAGTTCTTGATCAAACTTCGCTGCCAAGTCATCTCATCTTTTGGAAGGTCCAGGTCGCACAATCGAATCTCGCACATATGGAAAGTGAGCGCGCATGGAAAGTAAGCGTATATAGATGGTGAATCCCAATTTTCTTCCATTAAACCTGCCACAATAATATTAACCAATAAACTGAAGTGATTTCAAAAGAATTTGTCCAAATAATAAAGTCAACTTCCCTTAAATATTTAGTGTTGTCTGAACCTGGGAACCGAAGAAGGTTCGTCGATTTACTGCCAATCTTTAGAACTTACAATCTCACCCTTTGGCAGATAAATGGAAAACACATCTTCTGAACCTTCTTCGGACTCCAGAGCCTTCTCCTTTTCTTTGGCAGCAACAACTTTTTCTTTTCCCTTGGCCGTGGCAGCAACCTTGGACTTCTCAACAACCTTTGACTTCTCCCCCTTACTTCCAGCATGCACCTTCTTTTTCTCCCTCTTACCTCCAGCCGCTTTCTTCTTGTTCTCCCCCTTTTTCAATTTAGTCACCAAAGGGGTCCGCGATTTCATCGCTCCCAGAACCTCCTTGTAATACCTCCTATGATCATCAAGTTTCTTTTCCAGCCCAGAGAGAACCGCCATCTGTTGGTTCAGAAAGCCACGAAGCTGTGAAGGCACCTCTGAAGCCTTAACCATAGAAGGGAGAGGAGGAGCAGATTTAACACCAGCAAAGGCAAGAGGTTTTATGGCAGGAGACAAGCCATCACCCACGCGTGGGTCCATGTTCACGCCGACTTTGAATAGAATGGCACAAATAGTAGAAGGAAAAAGCAGCAACTTGTGTAGTTTGGTGATTTCAGCAAAGGTACCACTGTGTCAAAGATAACAGAACCAAGGTCGAAGGGAACACCGCAAAGAATACGATAGATGACACATGCCTGAGTAAGAGTAACAAATTGCTTGTGCGACGTAGGTGTCCAATTTGATGCACCTATTTTCTGTAAAGCATTCGCAAGAGGAGTGAGGCTCTTCACAAATAGCCTAAGAGCAAGCCACTTTCTCAACTTCCCACCAGTCAGTGTATTAGCAACCTCATCCAGATCATTAGTCAGAGGGGAAAGAGAAGAACCTACAGCCAATCCTAGCACTGAGTTTATAACAGATGGCGAGAACACAACAATGCAGTTTCTCACAAATACCCTTTGAAACAATAGCAAGAGGACTATCAGGGCCATCATCTTCGGTATCGAAAACAGCTTTCTCATCAACAAGAGGAGAAGGTTCCTTTTCAACAACGATAGGGTTAACGGAATTCTCTGGTTCACCGACGAACTTATCAACAGCATCAGGTGATGACTCTCCACCAAACTTGGAAGCAAAACCCACAATAGTTGTAGGTTCAGGCATGGTGATGGTCTTCTTCACCTTTTTCAGTTTTCCAATAGTAACCGCAGGGACCTTCTTTCTCTTTTTAGGTGACTTAGCAACGGAGGGAGAGCCTTTTCCACCTTTTTCGCTGCTACCCGCAACGTCGGGAGTAGCCACCTTTGACGTGGAGGACTTGTTGGGACTTGGGGAAACCCTAGTTTCGACGTTCTGAGAAGGTTGAGCTTTTTTTTGTTGCCATGTCGGAAGGAGTGAGATTTGGTGGAGTTTCAGTACTTTGGCTTTGACAAGTTAAACGCCGAGAGGGTTTAGGAACATCCTTCTTCGGCTTCACATTTCCCTGTTTCGATTTCGGCATGGTTTCAAATGGAAGAGCTTCACACGGGTAAGGAATGTTAGATAATTTTTGGAGAGATGAGAAAAATCAGAGATTTGATAGATATGAGAGAGAGATGAGAGAAGGTGATATGATAGATATAGGGAAAAGGAATTTCGGTTATCGAGGCAAGTTACCATAAAATGGTTCAGCTTTACAATTTGAATTTCAAAACTTGCCCAACACTTAATGCACGAAATAAAATTGTTTCCTCCAAAAGAAAACTTACCAAAATATTGACGAAGTCTACCAAAAATAAGTGACGAAGTTTCAGAATAAACTTTGATTAGATTTTGTACCAAAAATAATCTTGACGCCAATTTGAAACACAATTAGTCATAAAGGAAATCTTATGTACATGCCTAAATAATTTAATGATCACGCAGTAACCAAGATACTCCCAATCATATAATGTCGAAAAATATTTTCATCGATTGTTCTAAAGATCTTCCTCAATCAATTTTTAAAGAGTTCGACACTAATAAGATGCTAAGAATTTTTAAGAAACCAACTCAGCCCTTATATCTCCAACTTTTATACACCACGGAATTAAAATAAGTTCATTCATCATTTTCTCTTAGCAAAGAACAAAATTTTTCATTCGCAATTCATCCCCAACACTAATGATGAACTTACTTCGTTCTATGAACTTCCACACCATTTCACTTACTAACATTAACTATACGCCAATGTCAAGCCCATTACTTGAAGTGTGAATCATCCCGCAAAAAGTTGCTTTTGAATATGCTGAAAAGGCTTGTAAGATGGCCAATCTTATTTCACCAATGGACCTGCATCAACCAAGGATGACTACCTGCAGCTATCACACCTCGATTATTTCTAAGCACGTAACTCGTTTCACAGGTGATCATGGAAACACCTCATGTGATAGTTGCCCAATGCTTACTTTCACGAGAGCAGCTCTTACAAGTAGTTTTTAAATAATCATTGTGACGAGCTCAACCAAACTGACTAGTTAAAAACCACAGAACATCAATTTATTTATCCAACGACAAATTATTCAAGGAAGGTTCGTAGGATGAACCTACATACTATTATGTCTAAATGCAAGATAACTCTAATATGCGACACAGTATATATACAAATGCAAAAGACACAACATGCATAGATATTCTATAGCACACATTCCTAAGGATTTCCTTAGTGACGAAAAGCGTTTTGAATCAAGTGCTTTTGTGAAAATGTCAGCAAGTTGATCATCTGTAGCTATAAATAGACATTGTGCTTTGTGTTTTTAGACACAAGTCATACAATTCCTCATTTTCCAACTTTTAAGTTGGCAAATCCTCTCTATTTTCTCTTTTATTTTTGTGTTTTGATTTGGAGATCCATGACTCTACTTTCCTGATGAAATTCCGCTAATTTTATTTTTATTCAAGTTTCAAGCTTTATTCACTATTTTCGTCCGAGCATGTGATGGGAGAGTAGGTATCTTGCTTAGGCCATACTACTTCGAGTTTTTCTTTCGAATTATGTGTTTATGCTCATTTCTAGGCTTTACTTTATTTTTATTGCTTGCTTACGTGTGTTAAGAATCCCGCCCAAACTGGCATTGAACTATCTGCACTTTCTTGTATAGAGATCTAGACTTTGCTCAAAGCGTGATGATTTAGTATAGAAGGCTCGTGGTAGGTTACCTAGGATCACCTTGCTCGCATGGAGGGACGGATCTAGAAATTAACAGTGGACTGGCTAGAATATTAAAAATTCATTTTCATAAAAATCACATACTATTTTTTCTTCATATTCACTGTTCAACGAGCTTTTACAAAAAAATTCATTATGATCATTTTGCATCGTATTTGATGTACTTTCACTAGTTTGACGTGGATCAAGTTTTTTAAAGAACGATGATATCAATGGGGTTTTACTTTCTTGGCCGAAAGTTGGTGCTCCGTGTGGATTTCTAAATATTCCACAATACAAATAAATAGATTTTTCATATGGCATAATCATTACCAAAATGAAATGCCTCTACACATCATAAATTTATATCCAATTTATGATATACAACATGCACACTAGAG